ATATTATTATACAACTAGAGGCCCAATGCACAAAATTCGTGCATGGGGGTGAGGATGAGGGAGGTTTGGAGGGGCGCTCCCTCAGCCCAGCCTGCATCCTCTCACAATCTGGAACCCCTTGGGGGATGTTGGGCCTAAACACAGCCAGACATCCCTCTTGCAATCCGGGATGCTGCATACACCAGTGACCATACTTTTCATACAGGTGAAAGGCATCTTGCTGCTGTATGGGCAGCTACATTCTTTTCCCTGATTATAAAAAGTAGTACATAACATGATCCTTCTGAGGCAGTAGGACCATTTTCCCTGTCTTATGGGAAAATCTGAAGCAGAGAGAAGTTAAGTAATTGGCTTTGTCACATAGTTTTAAGTGTCAGAATCAGGGCTGACCACAAAATGTGCAAGCCAGAGTCCATGCATGTCATCACTGCATCATTCTGTGTTTTGGGTGTTAGAGTAGCCTTGCCAGATTTTAATTTTTAAATCTGACCGAGTTCCCAATATATAGAATAGTGTCCCTAGGCCTTGCTGGCGATCAGGGGCATCTGTGGGGCCACCAGTGGGCAGAGCTATCAGGGGACCTCTGCTGGCACCCATCTTGGCTGGCAGCCTGGCACTGCCCACTGGCCAGTCCTGCCCCTTAATCACTGCTGGTTGCCTCCCCATGATGGTCAGTGTGCAACATAGCGACCGGTTCCTGCTGATTGGTTGATTTGCATATTAGGGGTTTTATTATATAGGTGTACAGAACTTTATGGTGTACAGAACAATACTCCAACCAACTGAGCCACATTAATCAAGGCTATTATACAATAATTTAAAAATTATTACTACATATTTTTTCCTTGAAATTGCTAATTATAACAAGCAATCTATGGAGAAGATACCTGAATACTATGCAAACATCCCATTCCTCATCAAAATTCCCTAGATTTATATCCATTGATGATTTTTATAAGAATATTTGTGATGGCTGCAAAACAGTGATTTTTCAGCATCATTTTTACCAGTTTGCATCTGGCATTCTGCTGTAAGCAAGGGCCCTCTAATCTCCCTTGTTTATTTACTTCTAATTATCAATGTAAACTCATGCACTACTCCCCACCATTTGTTTAATAATTCATTACTGCCTTAACTGTTTTGGTGCTCAAATTATCCCAGACTTGGTTAGTGAAGGCTAGTTCAAACTGACTCCTTTGCCTCTGTGACCTGTCATCATTTTTTAGCATTTCCTTATTTTGTGGAACAAGATGTTTCAGGTTTTTATTGCAGCTGCCTTCATTCAGACTTTGAATCAGCCACTTCTCTGAGGAAGCCTGGTTCCTTTTCTGACATGATGATAATGTGTTATGGGTGAACTGGAAGGGGTGAGGTATGAACACTTTATGTACAGTCAACTCAATTTCAGGGCAGACTGGTGCTAAGTGAAAGGTTAAAAAATAACAGAGATTACACATGTTGGAAAATATAAAGAACAATTCAATGAAAAACTTTAATTTTTTGAGGACATTAATTGGAACAAGGTAATCATAGATGTCACATTATACATATTAGCACAGGAGAACACCCTTTGCCTTGCCAATTAATACAAGGCAAAGGGTGAGAGACAGTTCATTTGGCTCTGGATCCCAAGACTGCCCAGTTGGAGCGTAAAAAAGAATTAGATAAGGAAAGGGAGAAAGCAGGGACAAAGAGCTTCTAACTCGAGCCCCATTGTAATATTTCTTTAAAAAGTGAAAACTCATCTGAGAAAATAAAACAATTTTAATAGATAGCTGAATTAGTTAACTGCCAACAATTTGAATGTTTGGTATTCTTATACCGCCATTTTTATTCGTTTGGGGGACATTACACTACCTTGTTTAAAGCCAGATGTAATTTAAAATTTATACTAAATCAGTTTACCCTACCTTGCCTAGTTTTAACTGTATGTTTTATATGAAATTAAGTTCTCTCTCCTTTTTCCTCCTATTACCCCTGAATGGTGCCTGTACTCGATTCTTTGACATCCTTCCTCTACTCTTTAACTTTCTGGCAAATACATGGGCTGTGGTGGGTATTCCCCGATCTATGTCTCCAGAGGTTGTGAAGCCCAGATGAACAATTAGAAATGTAATTGGTCTCCTGAATAATATGGGTATATTTCATTGTTGGCCTTTCCTTATCTCTTAAAATGATTAAATTAGGAGAACTTAAAAGTAATTTATAAAAGTTTCTGACAATAAATGTATAAACATCTTTATTGACAGTGAGCCCATAAGAGCAGTCAAATTTAGTTTATAGGTAACAAAAAATATTTGAAAAGCAGATTGCCAAAACTCCCAAGATTCATGTCAAGGTACACACACAGTCAGGTTGAACACCAGGTATAAAAAGAACAAATACTGAAATGTAAAGGGCCAGAGTTCTCAGTAAAACAGAGCAAATCCTTTAACATCACTTAAACTGTCATGGAACTACCAGATAACTCCTGGTTAAGTGGTACCCAGAAGGGAAAAAAGCAGATCCCCTCAAGGTCTAAAGGGGAGTGTGTAGGTATAGTACCAGAGGGAAGCAAGAGTAGAAAGTGAAGTCCCTTCTCTATCATGAGCTGACAGCAGGATGCTTACAGTTCTTAATCAGCAAAAAGAAGGGGTGGGAGACACTCATTCTTAATTTCTACTGATGGATGTTTAGCTACTTGCTATAGACTGAATGTTTGTGTCCCCTCAAAAATTCATATTGAAACCTAATCCCAAAGGGATGGTATTAGATAGGGGCCTTTAAAAGGTAATTAGGTTATTATGGCAGAACTCTCATGAATGGGGCCAGCAGTACCCTTATAAAAGAGGCCCCAGAGGTCCCCCTGCCCTTTCACATCAGACACCGAATCTGCCAGGGCCTTGAGGGTGGACTTACTAGTTTCCAGAACTGTGATAATTGTTGTTCAGCTCAAATGAACTAAGACATCACTTCATTAGTGTGTGTCTGTGTGTGTGTGTGTGTGTATACACTTATGGAGAGAGGGAGGGATAGAGGAGACTATATAATTTATTGTTCCAGGTCCTTTTCAAGGTCACATAATTCTAAACAGATATGGTAGAATTAAAACCCAGCTTTGAAAATACTATGTTGATGTTATTTTGTTAGTCAAGTTTCGGCCCCCAAATGATGCATTTTTCACTCAAGCATTTGGCATATTGAGAAATAGCAAGTATTTTAGTCTTTTCAGGATATATACTCTCTGCTACAACTACTCAACTTTGCCATTATAGTATAAAATAGCCAAACAAAACATGTAAATGAATGAGTGTGGTCGTATTTAATTAAACATTCACAGAAACAGCAGTATATGAACTCGGTCTATGGATGCAGTTTGTCAATTCCTGCTTTAGATCAATATTGAATATTAAAGTGATAACAAGGGTTGAGCTCTGTTCTCATCAGCCATTCTTCTACTCTGACCTCTGAGATCTTGAGCCTTCCCAATCTTCTCAACCCCTTTCAATGTGTTTTTAAAAATTTGTTACAAGAATTTTTTAGCCCCATTTCTTTCATATTGTTTGATTTCCATCATTGCTAGATTTATGTTCAATATATCCTTAATGCTCTCTACTGCCACCATTTAAAAATTTTTTTCTTCTCCTATTCTTCTTCAATAATAGAAGTTTACAGAGAGGGAATTATAAGTCACAGGGATAATTTGGAGGGGGCAAAACATGGACTGGACTGGTGGTACTGAATGTTCATAAAAGAATTTAGAAGGGAAGAAGAAATCTATAACTAATTTCCCTCTACTTTAAAATCTTTTCACACAGTATGTAATAGTAAAAACGCCCCCCCACCCCCATTTGTATAGTTTTGCTAGATATTTGAGCATTTTTGTGTTCCTTATCCTATTAGTGGTCTTTGGTCACCCATGTACATATGTCAATATATCAATATGTCATGTGATTTCATGCCATTTCAATTTTCTTTAGTATTCTGGGATACATCATATAGAGAGAATAGGGACAAAACATTTGGGTAAACATGAACGGCAGAGAAATGGCCAACTTCTTCATAGAGGGAAGCTGTTTATTCTCAAGTGAGTCATTGTCTGTAAGCTATTTTCCATATCTGAAAGGAAGGTGTCCTTGTGTCTCACAGGTGCTTTAGTTATGTTTCTTGATTGGGATCCTAAACATAACACATTGAACCCATCAACTTTTCAGACCCTCAACATCCCAGTGGCTTTTCCTCAAAGTGACAAAGCATAGTTTATAGAAAGCAGAATGTAAAGAACAAAATATTCCTAATACTGTAATTATAGAAAACCAATGATTCATTCAATGAATGCCAAGGACAAGAAAAGAAAGATTTGTTAAAAAACTAGAGTTAAGATTTTGACTCATTCCAAGGAAGTAGAAAATGAAGTTCTACACAGCAGAAAGACCACAATTATCTAAGTCTACAAGCAGAATCCATGTGAATCTAACTTAGAACCAGCTGTAAATAAATTCTATTTAAGTTCATAAAATTTGAGAGTAGCCTTTGGAGTAGGGAAGGAATACAAAGTATATTTCAACTCTTAACCTTTAACTTTTTATAGGTAATGTAAAGGAAATGACACTACCTATAAATCTAGATCTCTGTTTTTGGATTCCAAGAGGTACAATTCTGTATCTTCCTGATAATAAGGACATGAACCCTCTGTCTAACCTAACAAATAAGAACTTCCTTACAAAGAGGGAGAACCTGGATTCTACAATGATTATATTGCTACCCATTCCTAAGGATTTCTTAAATATCCATAAAAAGGTATTAGGGAGGGATTAACACTCAAAATATTAAGCTTTCATAATTATTAATCAATGGGTGTAAGGAACATTTTGTTTATGGCTCAAAAATATGTAGTATGCATGTAAAATCAGATGTATACAAAATTGGTCTATAAGCAGCATTTTAAGTGTCTTCCACTAAACACTCTTGAATTTATCAGTGATAAAACCAACTTACATTTCTTCACATTTAATAATTTTTCAGGGTTGCTCTTCTGTATGAATTCTTTGATGTCTGATGAGGGATGAACTGCACTTAAAGCTTTTCCCACATTCATTACATCTGTAGGGTTTCTCTCCAGTATGAGTTCTCTGGTGTTGAATAAGAGCCGATGAATGAATAAAGGCTTTTCCACATTCATTACATTTGTATGGTTTCTTTCCAATATGAATTCTTTGATGTTTAGCAAAATTTGAACTCCGGCTAAAGGTTTTCCCACATTCATTACACTCATAGGGTTTCTCTCCAGTATGAATTCTTTGATGCTGAACAAGATGTGTGCTCTGACTAAAGGTTTTTCCACATTCACTACATTCATATGGCTTTTCTCCAGTATGAACTCTCTGATGTTTAGTCAGGGATGAGCAATGGCTAAAAGCTTTCCCACATTCCTGACATTTATAGGGTTTCTCTCCAGTATGAGTTCTTTGATGTTTGATGAGTGCTGAGGAATGAATGAAAGCTTTATCACATTCATTACATTCATAAGGCTTCACTCCAGTATGGATCAATTGATGCTGTACAAGATGTGTACTTCGATTAAATCCTTTCCCACATTCATTGCATTCATAAGGTCTCTCTCCAATGTGAATTCTCTGATGTATTGCAAGGGATGAGCTTTCTGTAAAGGCTTTCTTGCATTCACTGCACTCAAAGAGAATTCTAGTATGAGTTCTCTGATGTTTAGTTAAATTAGCTCTGTGGCTAAAAGATTTCCCACATTCATCACAGCTATAGGGTTTTTCTCCAGTATGGACTCTCTGGTGTCGAATAAGCACTGAATGGTAAGTGAATAGTTCACCACAATCATTACATTTATGAGGTTTTTTCTCTTTATAGGTTCTCTGTTTTTTCCTTAAGTTTGATTTCTGTTTCAATCTCTTTTCAAGTTTATGGAAGGCATACGATCCTTTTGGAACTCTGTCTTGAGTGAGAAGGACAGACTTCTGACTAAAGTTTTTCCAATATACATCATGCTCATGAGCTCTTTCTTCAGGGAGTGAATTAATGTAGGTGAACATTTCTCTCAAATGTCTCCCCTGATTTCCTTGCTGATTCTCTAACAAATTTTCACATTCAAAAGTTGTTTTCAAGTTGGTATCATAGACACAATTTTCTGTGAGTCTGTCTATTATTGCAACCTGGCACGATTCTTCTTTGGAAAAATCTTGCACTGAAGTTGAATCTTTGCTCTCAGGTCTACTCTCTGAGTCTGAAAAAAATTGAAAATGCAAATCGCCTTCATTTTCTATGCTCAATGAAAAGGCAGTTCTGTAATAGGTAAGAGTTAATGAAGGCAAAAAGCATGGCTTCAATGAATAAATGGAATTAACTCATGAGATGATTTGCAAAGAGAGGCAAATGGAGGGAGATGAAGAGTATATGCAGAGAAAGTGAACAGACCATATCCAGGAGAGTCAATGGGGGAAAGATGACTAGAAATAAAGGAGGGATGCAGATGAAGCAATCTATCTCTGGTTCAGCAGGAAATGTGCATACAAAATACTACCGCAGTAATAAAAATCCAGGCAGTTATCACCTTAGTGTTGAGGGCAGTTACAACTTCTAAATCTTTAGTTATCTAATCCTACTTATATCCAAATATGCTTTCAATTTCCAGTTTAATATTCCCTAACAATGCTTTTATAACACATACATGATAAAAAATCTCCTTTGAACTCTCAAAAATATAATGGCAAATATATAAAATTATACATGAAACAAGAATATTCATTACCACACTAATATAGGTAGCAAAAACTTGGTAATAACATATCTTATATCCTAGTAGAGAGAACTGATTAAATAAACAATGGAGTACTATGCAACTTTTAAAAAATAAAAAAGATCTCTATATATTGCTATAGTGATCTTCAGAATACAAATGTCTATATATTACACACTCCTCCTTTCTCTACACAAAAGTAGCAAACTGCAAATTAGCGTAAATAGTCTGCTACTTTTTCTGTAGATAAAGAAGGGGAGATATAAATATACAGACACTAGAGGCCTGGTGCACATTGAAAGGAAATTCATTAGAAGATGGCCAGTGGGACTGGGCGAGACAGGTCAGACATGCCCTGGAGCCAACCTTCCATGGTTCCTCACTGACTGGCTGCACCTAAGGCAGTGCTGGAGCTCGAAGGGCATCTGTGGAATTGAGCGGGGGTCCCTCTGGCAGGTGGGGTCCCTCAGTCAGGCCTGTGAAGATCAGGCCGAAACTGGCAGTCTGACAACCCCCGAGGGATCCCAGAGCGTGAGAGAGCACTCTGCAAAGTTGCTGTTGCTCGGCAGCTCCTGTGTTGAGCATCTCCCACTTGGTAGCCAGTCGCTTAACTTTTTATACACACACACACACACACACACACACACACACACACACACACACATATATTGAATGACAAGATTATGATCTCTGAAAGCATAATCTGGCCCCTCAGTGTATATCCTATATAACAAAAGGCTAATATGTAAACTGTCCCCTCGACTAGGAGTTCAACCAGCAGGCAGGCTGGCCAACCACCTATGTCCCCTCCCCCTGGCCAGACCCCACCCATGCACAAATTCATGCACACATATTTGGCTATATTTTCCAAAACCAAGGACAGATAATTTAGTCTAACATTTCACAAATACATATAAAATTATACCTATGGAAAGTATTAAATAATAACAGGCAAGTTATAATGCTGTGAAAGATTATAAGAAAGGGAATCTAGGGAGATAAAGGGAGAATTCCCTGAGGAAGTAAAACAGTTAAAATGGAAGTGGGGTTGGGATTCAGGTGAGTGTTTCAGGTAAGATATAAAAGCACTGAACTGAGTGCTTCAAGTAGAGGGAACAACATTACAAAAGCCCTGAGGTGAGAGAAACATTCAAGAAAAGCACAGTGGATGAGAGCATGGACTCTGGAGTCAGAATGCACAAATTTAACTCCAGCTCTGCCCTTATTAGCAGTGTGAGGTTATTTAACCTCTTTTCTGCAATTATATGTAATATAGGGCAATAATAATACCTACTTAATCTTTCTTAAGCATTAAATTAAAATATTTATAAAGCATTTAAAACTCTGACACAGCATAAGTACTACATATAAAATGTAAATTGATATAAGGTTAGTATAGGTAGGTAGAAGTAGAGGTCTCAAAGTGTGGTCCATGGACCCCTGAAAGTATGTAAGTTCAAAACTATTTTCAAAATAATACATGTTACCTTTTTCAGAGCCATGATAATTGCACTGATGTTGCAAAAGAAATGGTGGTAAAACTGCCCATGACTTAGCATGAATCGGACAATGGCTCCAAACTTACTGATAGTTATTGTATTCTTCCCACTATGCACTCTTGGTTAAAAAACAAACAAACCAGTTTCACTTAAAAATGTCTGAGTAGCCTCTAGCTGGTTTGGCTCAATGGACCTGTGGACTTATAGGTCCTGGGTTCAATTCCAGTCAGGGTACATGCCTGGATTGTGGGCTCAATCCCTAGGAGGGGGCATGCAAGGGGAAGCTGATTAATGATTCTCTCTCATCACTGATGTTTCTATCTCCCTCTTCCTTCCTTTCTGAAATCAATTAACATATTACTTTTTTATTATTATAGATTTTATTTGTATTAGCATGTGATGGGTTTATAATTAGCATTTTAAATGATCTCATAGTTTAAAATCTTTATCAGTTTTAATTTCTAATTCAGTAAGTATTGGTAGATGTAACTTACATAAACATAAGGTCTTTAGGGTCCTCAATAATTTTTGGAGTTAAATTAGGTCCTATGATGCCTAAACGTTTTTAAACTGAGTACAAAAACAGAGGGCGAATAGGTGTAAGATAAGGTTGGAATACAAATCTAATGGTAGCACTTTTTTGCTTAAAATATTTCAATGGCTTCCCATTGTTCTTAAGATAACAACTAAAATCTTGGATGCCTTCAATGTCTTGTTGCTGCTGGCCTCCCTCTGTAGGAGGTAACGAGGCGGCTGATCAGGGGACAGCGCCATCTGGTGCCCCCTGCCTTCCCCATCACACTGCTGCTGGTTGCTGCTGCCTTTTGCCCCTCAATCTCCTCCTCCTGCCCACTGGCATGTGCTTTGGCTGGCCTGGTGCTGCCTGCTCACTGGCTCACCCCCTGCTGACTGGTCATTCTGCCTTCTGTCGATTTGCATATTATGCTTTTATTATAATGGATAAAACATATAGGCACTGCTAATATAGTCTTAAGCACCAAAAAGTGCCAATTCTTCACTGTCCTGAGGGGGTTTTATTTCTGAAGACTCCCATCTATTTGACTCACCTGAATAGCTGCTCCTGGGGACTTTTCTCTCAAACATCAATGTTTCTGTTCCATTCTCCAAATTGTAGTTATCAGGCTTGGAAACTGGAAGCCCTGCTCAAAAGAAAGAAAGAAATGGGACTTACTTGTAGCTGTTTGCGATGGGCACAGACATCTTCCTAGAGCATAGTGGTAACCCCTGATCTACAAAGAGGACGGGAATCACAGGAAGATCTGGAGTGAGGGAAGATGGACCTCCACATGAAGCTTAAATATCCGCAGGAATCTGGGCCTGGTAAGGAGTTTATATGCACTTGAAAACACAAGTGTTTCTCCTGTCACAAAAGAAGAGAATTTTCCCTTCTTTCCTGAGGAAGTTCCAGAGAGATGCTGCAGATCAATCCTTAGCTTGGGAAGAAACTGGAGAAAACAGGACCTCAGTGGCAGCACACACGTTGTGATCTTGGTAACTAGAATTTGTCTTCTGTTTTTCCTTTCTTCTTTGTTTATCTACCAGAACCCACTTTCTTAGAGAATTTATTGCATGAGGTTAGGGAGGGGCTAACATAATACTTCCCACATCCCATATCCATACAAACATATATACGCACTTGTGCATGTGTGTGTACACACACATACATACAGGCTCCAAACTGCCCAGAGTAGCCTATTTCCCTGGCTCTAGTATCGATAGTTGTTTCATTAACCAACATGTGACTCTATTTGCTGAAACTCCTAGGATAGAAGCACTACCTTTCCCCCCTTAGTTCTCTAATTGGAAGAATAATATAATCCTAGAGCTATTAAAGGCCATCATTGCCACATGGGGAGATCCTAAGAATAAAGTCAGCAGGGCAAAGCCAAGCCACGATTTAAAAAAGAAAAAAGAAATTCCTGGTTATATATTTGATTCCCTGAAAAGATCACGATTTTTCCCACGTGGGGAAAGGAATCCAATCCCTACACTCTACCTAAAGCCACCTCTCTTCAATAACATAAGCCTGCACTGTCAGGGAATGGGCTCCAACACTGTTACCGGAGGAAAGTGGCGGAAACCCAGTGCAGCTGGGACAAGTATTTGCCCCTGGAGGAAAGTAGGGATACATATGAGGCCCAGCATTATGGCTGAAGGAAAACAGAAATATTTACCAAGTCTACACTTAATCCAGGTTCACAATGCTTGGCAAGAGCAACCCTAATCAGATAAAAACACCCCATTTTCCCCATCTTCCATCAATATGCTAACAGACTTAACTCTTACATAGAAACACAGGTGAATAACCCAATTTAACTTCAAAAGCCACATTTTGAAGACAAAGATGAGCAATAACATTTGGGCTTCAGTACAGAAGCAAACATATGATGTAGTATTCATATTCACCTTGATGATATTTCCAAATCATGGTGTGGGGCAATAAAGTACAAGTAAAAAGCCGAAGTCTTACAGCTGCTTAGAAAGTACAGTTTACAAATAGTTCTATCAAAGGACTGTTATTTAAGAAACAACCAATAGAGAAAGTAACTAAAGAGGAGCACCAAAATTTATATACAAATACCATCCAATCTTTTTGAGCCCTGAGCTGTACATATGAAAAGTAAAACTTTAAGGAGACCACACAGCTGGGGGGATAACATGCTGAGGAGAGACATTAGAAACGACAGATTTCTAGAAAGTGAGGCTGTACTTTATTCCATATCAGTATTGACAAGCTGTTAATGTAGGCTTTTAGTTGAAAATTCGTAAGGCCACAAACTTCAAAGAAGAGAAATACCTTAAAAAGTAATTTGCCCTCTCTAGGGGTAAGCCCTGTATCTGAGGGGTAAGGGGGAAAATAAAACAGAACCATCTGAAAAAAATAAAATAAATCAGGCAGGATCAACCATTACTCAATTCCAGAAGATACCCAGGAAAATGTTATCTCTTTAATAAATTAGATTAATTTACTTAACTTACAATAAATATGTTTTTTTTTTTAAATCAATGGGAAAAAAAGACTCCCTGCTCCCTAAGTTAGTGTGAATTAGGTTTGTGTTACTTGAATCCAATAAATTCTAATGCAAAACAAGCAGTTCACCAAGATCCTAGAACAGGAAGTGATTGTTTCTGAATCCAACAGGAGTTACACTTTATGGCTCCTGAACGGAAAAGCAAAGGCTGTGTAAGCTATTTCACTTTCAATAAAGAATGATGTCCCGTAGCAGACTGCAGTCACAGTGAGAAGCCATCCTTACAAAGCGAGACCAGGTTCCTATAGTTGTCCAGCATCACGTCCCTTTGGGCAGGATCCAACTTCCCCCACTCCTCAGGGGTAAAGTCCATGGCCACGTCCTTGAATGTCACGGATGCCTAAGACACAAAACATACTTTTGTTCACCATCTTTCACTCGACAGCATCCCTTTCACACTGCAGTTGCCCGTGGCCCTGGAGCTGAGGGACTGAATATTCTAAAGTGCAGTGATATGACAAGTGTTCTAACATATTCAGGTTCTGAATACCGTGTATAAAGTCCCTGGTATCAGTTATGTGCCATGCATGCTCTGCTAGGTTCAATATGAGAACTAAAAGAAATACAACCATGGTTTCTCCTCTGAGAGACTATCATTTTTCTGGGGAATAAAGAGTTAAAAATAAAACATGAACCAATAAGTTGACAATGTAGTTTGGCAAAGTAAACAAAATACAGGCAGAGGAGGAAAAGAAGCCTGTCTGCGTAACTCTTCTTATGAGTCCTCAATCAAAACTTGAAGAATCAGTCTAGCCAATCAGAAGATGAGTTGAAATACAGACCTTGTGAATGGAGAAGTCATGGAATGAAAAGACTGGCAGTGAGCACCAAATCCAATTAAGCATGGAATTCATTTAAAGCAAAAAATGTTAAATGAAAAATGATGGCAACAGACTAAGGGTACAGACAGAACTGATGTTTATGTGTAAATACCAAAAACTTATAGAATAAGTTTCTATAAGACAAAAAAAACACACACAAAACTGTAAAGAGGGAAACACATATATGTATTATATGCCTTTTTATTTATTTAGTTAAAGAATATGAAGTTTATTTTTATTTTTTAGAGAGGGAGGAAGGGAGAGAGAGCAAGAGCATGGGTGAGAGGGAGGGAAAGGGAGGGAGGGAAGGAGAGAGAGAGAGAGAGAGAGAGAGAGAGAGAGAGAGAGAACTGATGTTCTACAGACACATTGATCCCTTGCTTCCTATGTGTGCCCTGACTGCAACCTACGTATGTACCCTGACCATGAATTGAACCAGTGACCTCTAGTGCATGGGACTACACTCCAACCAAAGGAGCCATACCAGCCAAGGCATTACATGCCTTTTAAAATAAAACCATAGAGAATGGGAATAATATTCCAAGGTTATTGAGATAAATATATATCAAATGCTATAACTGGTTAGAAAACACCTAAACATTCATGAAGCATTTGCAAAAGTAACAAAGTAAATTTAAATAAATTCCAAAACATAAATAGAACAGAGCAATAACTGATAATTGAAAAAAAAAAAAACACATCAGAGCTGAAACTGGTTTGGCTCAGTGGAGAGAGCGTCAGCCTGTGGATAGAAAGGTCCCAGGTTCGATTCCGGTCAAGGGCATGTACCTTGGTTGCGGGCACATCCCAGAAGAGGTGTGCAAGAGGCAGCTGATCGATGACTCTCTCTCATCGATGTTTCTAACTCTCTGTCCCTCTCTCTTCCTCTCTGTAAGAAATCAATAAAATATATTTAAAAAAAAAAAGAAAAAAAACCCCAAAATGTCAAAATAGTAAAATGCAAAACCAGCCGAAACTGGTTTGGCTCAGTGGACAAGAGCATCGGTCTGCAGACTGAAAGGTCCCGGGTTCGATTCCGGTCAAGGGCATGTACATTGGTTGTGGGCACATCCCCAGTAGGGGGTGTGCAGGAGGCAGCTGGTTGATGATTCTCTGTCATCGATGTTTCTAGCTATCTATCCCTCTCCCTTCCTCTCTGTGAAAAATCAATAAAATATATTAAAAAAAATAAATATATATATAGCAAAACCAAAGCCAAAGCACTAAAACTGTACTCAGAGGTAACTTCATAGCTTTAAACACTTCCATTTCATTAAAAAATAATGTAAATAAATGAACAAAGCATACAGGTCAAGTCAGAGAAAGAACAACAAACTAAGAGAAATCAAAAGAATTATAGGATGAAAGCAAAAATTAAAGGGGAGAGGGAGGAGAGAGAAGAAAAATAGGTTAGCTGGGAGGTCTAAGTAAGATCAGTAGGTTGTAGTACTGTATCAATGCTAGTTTCCTGTATTTGGAAAATAAGAATAAAGTGAAGTAAAGTGTTAACTTTTGGAGAAGATGAATGGAGGGTAAATCCTAACCCTAACCCTACATTTCTTTAAGTCTTAAATTATTTCAAAATAGTTTCCAAAGACGGAAATATTCTGAGGCTTAAAAACATACAACAATCATCCTTGGGGGGGGGGGGGGAGAAATAAATCACTAAGTAGACAAGACATTTTGAGGAAAAATGACTGAGATTTTACAGCCTGCATATCCACAGCTAAACTGACAATGAGAATTACTTCCAGACAATTAGAAGAAAAAAATCAGGACACAAGTGCAAACCAATGCACAAAAGGCAGAAAAACACATGAAAGAAACAAGGAAAGCATAGTAAATAGAACTATAAAAACCACATGGCTAGAAAAAATTGAAACATACACAATCATATTAATGCGAATGAGTTAATTCCTCTTTAAAAAAAGTAAATGTTTTTTCTATTGATTTCAGAGGGAAGGGAGAGGGAGAGACAGATGGATACATGGATTGCTGCCTCCTGTTCATTTTCTACTGGGGATCAAGCCCCCAACTCAGGCATGTGTCGTGACCAGTGACCTCCTAGTGCACGAGATAACACTCAACTGAGCCACACTGGCTGGGTGAATTAATTTCCCTTAAAAAAAAAAGGCCAAATCTTGTTTATACAATAACACTCGTAAAAACACCCCTAAGTTGGGGACTGGCAGTGGGAGAAACCAAAGGAAATATTAGTGTCTGAATTTAGTAGTGCAAGTTCAACAAAATCATATGGAGAGATATAAATCAAATTGTTACCCTCAGTAGGGAGAAGGAGGGGACTGAATTTGAGGAGGAAGTAATATCACTTTTACATTTACATATGTCTGTGCTGTCCACCTGGTTACAACCATCCAAGAATTAATACTTTAAAAAAAATTTGAATACAAAAATACAAAACACAGTCCAGGCAAATTCTAAGATAGTCACAATATTAGCATCACACCATATCTAATACAATGCAAAAAGAACAAGTTTTAAAAATTTTCCATAAAAGGTTTAATCTATCCGAAACTCTAACAGTCTTGAATCTAACATCAATGTGTTCCTCTGGCACTGGTACTTATTTTCCTCGGCCACTATGCTGGCCAGTGAAGTTCAGGTAGCATTAATTGCATCTCTGACTCCTGGATGGTATGTGTGTTTCTGTATGTGCAGGTATATTCCATAGATCTGCCCAAATTTGTCCAAGAACGGGCCTAATACCCCTTGAAGAGTTAACCCTGGACTTCTGCTGGAATGACCAGGAGGGAAGCTGCCCTTTGTCTTGGGTCTTCAGCGTGGGAAGATATGAGATATGAGCATAGATTTGATAGGGGCTAGCGCTAGGAAGAAAACTTGCTTGAGAGGAAAACCCATAGAGAGAAAAGAAGTCAGTGAAATTGAGGAAATAGGTTCTAATGTTATTACTTGAGCTCTATTTCTAGTTAGACCTGGATTTTCAGTTATGATAGCCAATAAATACCTTTCCCTTACACCAGTTGAGTTGAGCTTTTATCAGCTGCAACTTAAAGCTTCTTGTCTAATAGTCTTCAATACTAATTGTAAGGCAGTTGAGAAACCAATTAAGACAGGCAAGTACTGTATATAAGGACCCCAAGAAGTCATTTTTACAAACAGTACTAATGTGCAAAATGGACTTTTTATACTTGGGATCACAGTAGCAAAGAGAAAGGCGACTTCAGAAATCTTGGGTTGTGGCATGCCACACACATCATGGAGAGCTCTTTTCTCTTACCCAACTTCTTTTAATGAAATTTTAAACACAAAAAGTTGAAAGACCCATACACGGATCACCCATATAGTACAACCACCACTTAAATTCTATTTCTTTTTTTCTTTATTTCAGAGAGGAAGGGAGAGGAATAGACAGAGAAGAAACATCAGTGATGAGAGAGAATCACTGATCGGCTGCCTCTTGTACCCCCTACTGGGATTGAGCCCACAACCTTGACCAAAATTGAACCCGGGAGCTTTCAGTCTATAGGTGAACACTATCCATTGAGCCAAACAAGCTAGGCCAATGGTCGGCAAACTCCTTAGTCAACAGAGCCAAATATCTACAGTACAACTGAAATTTCTTTTGAGAGCCAAATTTTTTAACCTTAACTATATAGGCAGGTACATTGTTATTAACTTAATTAGGGTACTCCTAAGGGGGCCTTTGCTGAAAAATAAAGACTCAAGGGGCCAAAGAGCCGCATGTGGCTCGTGAGCCACAATTTGCAGACCACTGAGCTAGGCCAATCACTACTTAAATTAAAAAATTCTTAAAATTTGCCCTTGTTAAGACAGATTGGAAAATTGTTTCACTTCTAAACATGTGCATTCATCATCTTGGAGGGCTGGATATTAGCACTTTTCCAGTGCTCTTCTGAATTTCTGAGCACTTACTATTGTCATAACTCACTTCAGCACTAAAGAAAGGTGCTTTCTTAATATCTTACATAACAGTCATGTGTATGTTGATTCCCTGCAGAAACATAAATTTTAAGATATGCCCCAAAGATTAAAAATAGTGGCAGAGTAAGTGGATGCTACACAGACATGCTCCTAGGCCCAAACTGGAATTACAACTAAAATACAAAAGAATCTTGAATAATCAACTGAAGATTAAGATATGCCCCATATTTTCTATTAAAAGTTTCCTAAGTTACCAAGCTCAGCAATTAGCATAACAGGCAAAGAAGGGTAATTACATTCCTTACCTGCCTGTGGCCTGACAGTAAGGACTAGTGGAGATGATGCCATGGGTTAGTAGAAAACACTTTCTACTGAGGCCAATAGCCACCAGAGTAGTCTTAGAATAGAACTCAGCTCTCCAGATGGGCTCTAGTGGACAAAGAAACTTGACATCAAAAAGAAGGGTGTGTGCCTGTGCTCTGAGGAATAAGGTGGAATTTCAACAATCAGTAAAGACACACACTCACCTGGGATCTGGCTGTGAGGCGGAGAGCTGTCACTTCTCCCTTTTCTGTGCTCTTCTCTTGGGGAAAGAAAGAATCCTGGGAAGATGCAGCTAAGGGCAAAAAAGCGGTAATTGTGGGATCTAACTCTATACTGTGATTCAGATTTATAAGAAAAAAAGCCCTCCCCCTGCGAATGATGCTCTGGAAAGTACTGCACGGGAAGGCAGCCCAGTCAACTCCTGGAGAAGTCATGGAGAAGTCCAGGGATGTTGCTTCCTGGACCCAACACCTTCTGGCAGGTGGCACTCTCTAACCTAGAAATCGGAGTAAGTCAGTATTTCCAAGCTTAATGTACGTTAAATTAATGTAAGAAAAGTAGGCTCAGTTCTCAAAAATCACCCTTATTGAAATGTAGCTTACAATGCAAGCTTGATGAAATGTAGATCACTGGATTCCACTTCCTAATAATTGTTACTAGTTGAGTCTGAGGTGCACTCCAGAAACCTAATAAGCAGGCCATGGGTTAGTAGAAAACATTTCCAAAATTCTGACATGAGGTCACGGACAAACTTCAAGAAAGGCTGGGCTAGTCAACTACTGACCTCTGTGCCTGTTTTCTACTAAGCAAAACTACAATATTTGTGCGACTGAAATAGGATTATTGTGCAACGTGAAATGACAGATGCGGGAAGGTTTCTTTTGCCTGCCAAAAAAGCTAAAGCCTCAGACTCACCGACAATCTGGTAAAAAGAACGGGCGAGAAAGTGCCTTAGCTAACATTTCGAGGTGGCTTTCAAGGAGCCACCGTGCACCAGCTGAGGCGGAGAGGGCTGCCCCACACCAAGCCCTCCGTTCTCCCTCCCGGAGACAAAGGAGAGGCCGGCAGAGCTGCCTGCCTTCAGGAGGACCTGCACCTCCCACAGCGCAGAGCGGCCGCCCAGCACTCTCACCTCTTCGCTCGGGCATTGCGGCCGAATCTTTCTCCATCGTCACCAATCCTCCGGATCCGAAGATCCTGCTCCCGGCCTCCCCGCTCCTCAGTCTAGACCCCTCGGCACGTCACAGCGGGAAGCCGTCCCCCGGCCGGCCGGCGGGGCGCTGCTGAGACGCTGCTTCCTCGGCCCCGGGATGCCGGCGCCCGGTCCCGGGCCAGGTCCGAGGCCGACCCTCAGCTGCCGGTTCCTGCCGCCGGGCGCGGCACCTGCGGGACCGAGCAGCCGGGAGGAGATGGCGCCGGGTCGGGTTCCCCGGGAGGCGGCAGCCGCGGGAGGGGTGGGCTCATGGCTCGCCCTCGAGGCCTTTTCCACAAATGCGCGCTCCAGCCCCGGCTCGGCACAGACTGATGCCCGGGGCCGCCACCGAGGCCGAGCGCCGCAAAGCGGCCTCAGAACCCCACTCACCTCCCATGCGGGCTGGACAAAGGCTTCCAACCTCCGGGCCCCTCGCAGCCGCGCGTGCGTGAGGAGGGGAGGGGGCGAGCGGGCGAGCCTCTCCAGCCGAGAACTACGGTTCCCAGAAGCCCCCGGGGCACTGCCAGACTCCGTTCTCCGCGGGTGGGAGTCCCAGTGGCGCTGTGGGGTGGGAGGGGCGCGAAGAGCAGAGAGGAAGGGGAACTGCGAAGAAGCCAGATTTTTCCTTCTCGCGAGAGCAAGGGCTGCAACTCCCACGTGAGGTCCTTCGCACCGGTGAGCGCTGACGTCATTGCTTAGGGCTGCCGAGGAGTTCAATCTTCCTTAGTCTAACGTAAGGTATATGCGAGCAGTCTATGCCTCTCCCATATATTTTACCTCAGCAAACTCCTTTTCCTTCAAATAGCATGGGAAGTGTATTTGTAGGAACAGTGGGGTGTATAGGCACATCCATGCATGTTCCTGCATCCATGGACTTGTAATACTGAAAATTCACATGTGTGAGAGGGAAGTTGAAAATATTCAAACAGTGTCAGCCGAAGCCGGTGTGGCTCAGTGGTAGAGCGTCGGTCTGCGGGCTGAGAGGTCCCAGGTTCGATTCCGGTCAGGGGCATGTGCGTTGGTTGCGGGCACATCCCCGGTGGGGGGGTTGCAGGGGGCAGCTGGTCGATCTTTCTCTCTCATGACGTTTCTAGCTCTCTATCTCTCTCCCTTCCTCTCTATGAAAAATCAATAAAATATATTTAAAAAAAAAGAAAATATTCAAACAGTGTCAACCAATCTGAGCGACATCTTCGTTAAGCAAGCGTGACATTAAATGTATCGAAATAGATGGTTCTCTCAAGCATGGTTAGTCTCATCCTAACCTACCCATCTCAAACTCAAAATGTTTAAGTCGCCCTCCTCTTCACAAACCCATTCACAAAAGCAAGAATGAGAATATCCTTAACTCTTCTCCCACTACAGTTACCACCAAGTCCTCTTTCTCATTTCTTAAATAACGCTCCGATTTGTGACCATCTTTCTCTGTTCCCACTGGCATTACTTTCGTTTTGGCCATCACCATTTCACTAGGGTTATTTATGGCCAGCCAGCCTCCTAACTGATTTCTCTAACTCAGCTTTTCTTTTCCACCAGTCTGTTCTCCACACTTCCTGGCCAGTGATTGAGCATTCAAAAGCAAGAATATAACGTCACTTTACTGCTTAAAACATCCGTGGCTTTCATGAACTTTGGGAAACAATTTTTAGTTTCCACTTCAGCTTCCATTGTGCCTCCTGCTATTCACACCCTTTAACCCACCCCTCTAACCCCCGCAGTGTGGATAGGATCTGTGACTCACTTTTAACAGTAGAGCACAGCAAAGGTGACATATTCTTTTCTTAAAACAAAACACACACACACACACACACACACACACACACACACACACACACTGACTTCAGAAAGGAAAGGGAGAGGGATAGAGGATAGAAACATCAATAATGAGAGAGGGTCATAGCCTCCTGCACGCTCCCTAGTGGGGTTAGAGCCCTTGACTGGAATCCAACCCGGGACACTTCAGTCCACAGGATGCTAGGGCAAAGGTGACATATTCTAATACTTCTCTTGCTAGGAGACTTATTACTGGTTTTGACGAAGGAGGTGATGATGTTGGGGCACACATGACAAGGAACTGCGGGTGGCCTTCAGCCAACAACCAGCAAGAGTCTAAACCCTGTCAGCAACTCCCAAGGGCTTGGAAGTGGATCACTCCTAGTAGAGTTTTCACATGAAAACTCACTCCTGGTTGACACCTTGATAGGCAGCTGCGGAGGACCTAGTTAAGTAGTGCCCAGATTTTCACCCACAGGTAGTGAGATAATAAATGTGTGCTTTTTCCCCCTACTAAGTATATAGTAATATTGTTATGTAGGAAAATGTAATTAATACAGTATCCTAACTTAGATGGAAAACTCCTTTCCCCTAGGAATACTCTGGAAGGGGGAGGTTGTTGGATGAGAAACTATAATAATTGGAAATTAATTGGAAACTCTGAAAGACAATGGCTACAGTTGGTCCTAGGGTGTGTGTGTGTGTGTAGATTATAAGAAAATGACAGCAACAATGGAAGACCCTTAGATGTCACAAAGAGACTGTGGAAGGTTCTGTAGGGTGTGGGAGTGATTTTTAGAGTTTGTTGTGCTCCTTTAAAAAAAAAATATATATATATTTTATTGATTTTTTACAGAGAGGAAGGGAGAGATATAGAGAAACGTCGATGAGAGAGAAACGTCGACCAGCTGCCACTTGCACACCCCCTATGGGGATGTGCCCGCAACTCAGGTACATGCCCCGACCGGAATCGAACCTGGGACCCTTCAGTCCACAGACCGACGCTCCACCACTGAGCCAAACCGGCCCCAGCTGTTGTGCTCCTTTTTGTTCACCCCCACATTGCTCTGGGTAAATGTTCCCATTCTTGCTTGCATCATTGCAGTGTAGCCTTAGGGTAAGGTGACCAGACATCCTGCTTTTGGTGGGACAGTCCTGATTTTTAACAATTTGTCCCATGTCCCATCCCATGGTGTTTTAAAAAAGTCCCTGTTTTTGGAAAGAATGCATGACAAGCTAGGGAACGGTGGGAGATCGGGAAGAGAATATACGGTTTTCGGCGTATTTAGCCAGGATATGAGTTTTATACTATTTTTGTTAATTTTATAATGTTAAACTTTAATAATAATAAATAATTGTTGAGAACTGATTATCAAGAACTGCTTATCAAAGTTCGCATTGTTGATCAGTTGTTAGAATTCGCTCGAATGAGAAATATGCCAAAGAATAAAATAATACTATACATAATATTTATTTATTATATTTGTAAATTGTAAATTGTACTTATGTTAAAATTAAAAATATATATATTACAATACTATTTTTGCGTTCTATGAAAAATTTTGTTGCTCCATATAGACCAAATTTTTAATCAATATCCTCCCCTCTCCCCCTCGCGTCAATGGTGTCCTGCTTTACCAATGTTAAAATTTGGTCACCTTACCTTAGGGCTGGGCTGGGAGAGAAGATGATACTAATAAATAAAAGTAGATCCATTTCAAAGGGTTCCATTCTCCTTTCTCGCACTCTCATACACACACATATGCACACACAGTGAGTCTGATGATCACTGCAAAAAAAGAGATGTTCCCTGAGGGATAAAATCACCTGGTAGAAGGAGGATGGCGAGTGAGGAGTGGTCATGTCAAATTTTAACATTATAGATTCTCTTCTTTGAGAACAACTAAAATCCTTCTCAGTCTCTCCTCCTCTCCAAATATTCAAGATTCATCTACAGCTTATGCCCTTCCTGGTGAGTTGAAAAAGGGATAGGAAATACATCCAATTTTTTGCTTCTCCCTCCCTACATTACCAGATTATAACCTGGGCCTGGGAAATATGGGCTCACAAGGAAAAAAGAATATATATGAAGAATTCTATTGATATAAGATGAAAACAATGAACTGAACCATCTATAACAGATAAAGGAGAAGTAGTGGACTGTACAGGGCCCCTGGGAAGGCACATAGGCATTCTTTAAACTGTTGGCAGCTGAGTCTGAGGTGACTGGCAGAGCCACTTCTGTACTGATAACACCCTCCCCAAGAAGGCAGAGAGTGTTATCAGTACCGACTTCTTACCTTTGTCCAGGTGCTGGGAATGAGGGAATAAATAGGACCTGGGCCCACCCAAGCTCCTTTGATGCTAAGTTTTTCGGTGAAAACCCCTTGTATTTTGTAATATAAATAAATGTGCTGCCTCGGTTCTAGGTCGACTGTCTCTTCAGCAGAAGAGGGCAACGGCCCACCCAGGACCCAGCTTTAAATCTATCTCTGTGTCTTCTCTCTTTCTTTTATTTCTCAATCCCGGGTACCTCTACTCAGAACCAGTTTCATCTCTCTTTCTGTGCTGGACGCGGAAGCCTTGGAGGGGATTTATATTAGCTTCCAAATTAAATTGAAGAAGAAATCAAGTGAATATTTTTTAAAGAAACCCTCCAAGTTCATGAAGCACCTTCTGGAGAAGAGGAACTTGTCAAATTTGAAAGTGGGTCAAGGTCATTGTCATGAGCTGCAATGACTTCCTTCCAGTGGACAATTGATACATGGCACACATATTGTTGGACTCTTGGTTCTCCCAGCATTGGAAGCTAACACCAAACTAAACCTTTGCCTGGGCTTGCCTCTAGACCACAATAAAGTCCGTAAGAGTCAATATTTTGGAGTGCCTTCTAGTAGAATCATTGTCCTGTCATTTCACACTAGGAAGACACAGGCTTTTTCCCAAGTCTGGTATTTCAGGGAGCCTGGGTTCCAGGCCAGAAAAGACCCTGAACTTGAGGGGAGTGGCAGGGAAGTGTGAGGATAATGGGTCTACATCACCTTCCCATATGTCCAGATGAAAAAATAGTACGTAAAACTAAAGCATGTTGATAGAATCTTTCTGATTAAACAATAAACAGTTTAGATGATTGAAACACTACCCACAAGCTATTTGTATCTTTCATCTACATGTAAACACAGTTATTCCTAACATGGGGCCACTCTATATTCCCACTCACAGTTCATTTAACATGAATATTATCCCCGCTCTTTAATAATTTTGAACATATAATTGCACAGCTGCATAGTACTTCTTATGATACATTGTGCTGTCCACCTCTTGGCCAACCACATCTGTCTCCTTCTGAAGTCTAGTTCGACTGCTATGAGCTCCAGATAGCTCCAAATGTATAATCATTCACTATCCCTCCAGAGCATGCTCACTGCATTTTTTCCCCTTAAAATTCTGGCACCTATCCAAGCTGGTTCCTATCCAAGATGCTGCTCAATCATATCTCTGTCCAGCTCTAAGCACAGCGCTTGGCGTACAGTGAACACTCAGTAAAGACATGAACGGCACCATAATTCTAAATGAGTTCCTCATGGTATCATAGAACTTCAATTGTCCATCAAAATCCACTCA